CAAACTTTTGGATTTTGGTGCTTTTCAAGATCTCTAAACCTACGAGTTTTGCCTTATTGCTAAATACATCAATAGCCACCACTAAAGTCTTCAGGGACATAGATAGGTTAGCAACACCATAAGCAAAGTTAAGGTCTGTGATCTTATCTCACCCAAAAGTTGTCTCTCATTGGCTTTGGATGACAGCCTTATCCATTATCCTATCCATGCAAGTGTTGAAGACTATTGCTGGAAGGATACATTGTGACTCCTGAATTCACAGAAAAGTTGCTAGGCAAATCACTGCCACACCTCACTTTCAGTATTAATATAGAGGTCTCATATTAGCCTATTAATAGTTACTGAGATTCTCTGAATCTCAGGAGTTTATTGATAGACTCATAATGCCCTGGGTCAAATGCCTTCTTGAGGTTAAAGCATGCCACAGATTAATACAGTTCCTGAGTTCAAGCAGCCTAGTAGCGCCCTTAGACACTGAAGTGGAGTTTTTACCCCTTGGTTAAACTACAACTTTTCACTTGGTCTCTGCAGTCTGTGGCTGTAATTAAACAAGGTTATCATTTCTTAGTACTCCAGTGTGGAGTTTAAGTCACATACTCATATGGAAGTCATCTTGTAAGGTAAAAATTATTCCTGCATTTATTTTATAGTAGTTTATAATAAATAGCCCAAAAAAGGTGTTGCAGCACTGGCACTTCTGAAGATGTATTGTTTGGGCTGCCATCTTTGTTGACACGTGAGGTCATGTTCTTTAAGCAAACAGCCCCAGATAAGTTCATAGTTGCTACACAAAGCAACACAATTCAACAAACTCCCCTTGAGCAGGTTATCAGCAAGCTCTCAGCCTAGGTTGAATGCAGTCTTGATCTATCTGTTGCCTCTAGTTTCTCCTCAGATAAAGTTCTGCCTTGTTCATGGGCAGTCACTAATGGACTGCCCATGCAAGTCCCACAATGCTACAAGGTATGTCATTGTGAATGAGACAGACCCTGTAGGACACCTTCAATTGTTAATTTATTAGAGACTGCCAAGGCAATTCCTAACCACATTCCTCCTCTGTCTTCCCAGTTGAAATATCCTAGGGTAATCATTGGATGGACCAGACCAAGGGTGCCTACAGGCACTCTGGTGCTGGATTCACTATTACGTGATTGTAACACATTTACCAGAAGTCGGTTACCATTACATTTACCAGTAAAGTGGGATTTACAAAGACATGGTATACTAAAGTGAGATTCATATAGATATGGTAACTTGTCTCATAAGAGTTATGATTAAAAATCAACTCATTCTAATGGTAACCAACAGAAGACTCTGGTAAAACAATTCATTTGCTTCCATACAGCAAAACCAGCAGTAACAGTGTCTTGAAGACACATAGTTAGGTCTTTCTTCACAGTTAACCCCTTGCCAACAGATCACGCACTGTGGAGTCATAACAAACCACTTGATCTATGGAGTGTGGCTGTATGCCACGGCAATGCGCCAAAGCACTACAAGCCGAGGTTCAGCTTAGTGTACAAAACTCATGCGTTCAAAGTTGGCTCAATGCCATTAATCTCCAGAGCATAGTTTTTTGGTTTTTTTTCTTCACCTATCATTAAGGGGTTAAAGGCATCTCAATATATTTCTGCCAAGCAAGGTCATAGCTCCTGTTGCCAGGCCAATAAATATGATCTTTTAAGGATTTACCAGGACTGAATCCAGATTGCCCCAGTCTCAGGTGTCTCAATAGGTTACTCTGATACATCTCAGAAATATGAGAGCAAGCACCTTGATGAGCAGTGTAATGTTTTGTTAACCCCATGGATCCAGATGCTCCACTGCCCAAACTTGGCCCATAATACAAGCAATAGGCTTAATTTAGAAGCCACTCTGATGGGTGTACAGCTTGTAAATCAGGTGCAGACAAACACTTTGCAATATATATATTTTTTTTCTGCCATTATACACTCAGTGAATGGGCCTACCTCTACTACCAAAGAAGGTTTTTTGAGATAGCTATGGCTGCCCCCTGGGTAATGCAACTATCACTGAGACCTGACCAAAATTAGGTGTAACCACCCTTATAAACTGCCAAAGCTTCTCACTTCTGAGAAGACAGTCACCTCTACCTTCAGCAACTTGTGTTCCCTCACAGTGGTACTAGCAACTGATATGATGTATGCCTGAGGGTAAAGCCCAAGCATTCACTCAGAGAGATACCCTCCTCTGCCCTTAAATAAAGTTGGATGGTGGGCCACAGGCCCAGTATCTGCATCTAGGATTCACATTACACAGGTGGGGCTGGTTTTTCCTGATTCTCTACTGGGAGGGAGGGGAGTTATTTGGGTTACTGTCACTCATATGGAAGTTGGCTGCCTTCCCCAAAGCCACCCAATGACCTCAGGGGACTGGGGGAGAGGAGTTGGTACAAAGCTAGGACATGTCCACATGCTGGCAGAAAATGACTTCATGCCTCTTGGGCCTTCTGCCACTCTTGAGATGTTCTACAGTTTAG